GTATCTAGAGTTTAATTAACAAAAGATTAAAAAATATAATTGTCTTTTGAAGCATGATGCTTGGAATACAAGGAAATAAAATATATAGTTCACTGATCCTCGAGTGGGATTCGTCGGAAATGTAATTTTTTTATCTTTTTTTTCTGGAATTTATATTAACAAAACAAAGAAACAAATAGAGATTAGATACTGAACAGATATTAAAAACCTCTCTTCTACAAACTTTCATTATATTCTATACTTGTATCATTATTTAATCATCAAAAAAACATGTGAGGGTTGAAAATGTGTTGTCAGTACTTTTTGCCAAGCTGCAAACGTATTTAATGTGGTTTGTTCAATAAGATATCTTCAACATTAATATTCAAATGAGAACATAATGCAATGCGACTCAGATCAGAGGCGGATATAGAAATTACCGTTAGTTCCAGTTAGCTTCACTATTATAAAAGTCCTTGAGACTGATTTTAATATTTTTCAGTAAATAAGCTTAAAAAAAAGTTGCAGTTGTTATAAAAAAAAAAAAAAAAATACGACTGGCTAGTAATTTCTCTGTCATTTATGTAAGTTCATAAGTATGTCTATGGAAAAAAGTAATGATCATGAGGAAATGAGCTTATTGCCGATTCGGATGGGTGTAAGTGGTACCCCTGAATTTCTTCTTCAGCGCCTACATTCAATATAGTTCAATGTACTTCACACAGTTAATGAATTTATATATTGTAATTTCAGAGAAAAAAAGCACCACCCTAACCGGGTTGTAAATTGTCCCGGAAAATTAAGAATGGTTACGAAAATAAGGGGATTTTTCGACAAATTATCGGGGTAGGAGAAATGTTGAAAATTCAAGTTTTACAATAAATCTCAGCGTCAGAAGTTCCGTCATTTTGAGAACAACAGCTGTTTTTTTTTTATTTGTAGAACTGATCATTGCTGATAAATAAACTTTTACTGTAAAATTTTCTAGATTAGCTCGAAAAATGGTTTTCATTTGAAAAAAAAAAACCTTTAAAAAATATGCTTTATTGTATGTTTATTCATGCTACCAGTGGATGTGACATCACATCAGGTCTGTTTGGTCGTTTCCGACAAAATCATCTTTATCTTCGAACCATCAGAGTATGTATTTAGCTATTTAGCTCTTCTACAACAGTTATCATGTCAAATTTTGTTGGAGATTTCGTTATTTAGGTGATAGCAATCTATAACCAACAAAGGAAATGTTTTTGAACATTTATTTTTTTCTCTTAAAATTGGTAGTTGAGAAGCAAATGACAAAAATTAATCAAAGTAAACATAAGAAACCCTATTTTTTTTCTATTTCTTATCATACCGAAACTGAATAAAAATAAATTTCAAAATCTGGTGAGCGCATCACACGGCTTTCACTTACTACCCTCTTCTTGGCAGAAATAAATATTTTCAGACAAAGAGGAAGTGAAAGTAAAAATTATAGACGCAATATTTATTTAAATTTCATTGCGTATATTCATTGTTTGAATACCTTTATATATAAAATTTTTAATTTGTATAATGCTGTAATGTATACAATTAAATTATACCAACAATAGCATTTATGAAACAGCATATTTATATGTACATAATATTTTCGGAGTCTGTATTATATTAAGCTCAAGTTACCTATGGAAGCCTGTTCTTTCTTTGATATTTTATATTTAAGTATTTTTTATCCCAAATATTAATGTAAAATGGTTAATTATTTCAAATTAATGGTACTTTAGAGAAAGCTATTAGTGAAAGTTAGCCATTTAAGCCCAGTTAGAGAACATCGATTAGAATAAAACCTTCATTATATCAAAAATCGCACAATTTTGCACTGATATAATAAATTTAATCAAAATCGTCTGAGCTGAGAAAGCTGAGAAAATCGTAAACAATTACACAATCGATGATATAAAGTGCCGCTAAGCCGATTTTTACGGAAAAGTTGATGTAACATCACAGATATATTAAAACTAGTGTTGCCCAAATGCGAGACCGAGACGAGTCTTGGTCTAGGTCTTGGTATTGCGCAAGACTGTCGTAACAGTCTTGCAGTTCCCTCTTTGCTTATTACTAAAGACATATAACTGTAATTTTTTAGATATGAGAAACATAACTAAGCCCGAATGAAAAATTAGAAGATTTAAATGCAAAAGTATATTGGTTACACCTATTCATTACACATAGTAACTAAAATTGTCAAGTATTAGTAAATATTTTGCCATAATTTTTATTGAAAAAAATCGATTTTTTTACCAGTCTTGGTCTTGTTCTTGCAACAGATAGGCGGTTTGCAACAATTTCGGGCAACACTAATCAAAACCTTAAATATACATTTTCACTTTCATACGACTTTTTGTTTTAGAGTTGGACTGTTCGCACACAGACACCCATCATTTTGTGGGACTTGTTATTTGGACTCAGTGAGCCTCAAAACGTGTATTTCTGTTAAAATATCGGATTCGAAAATTTTCACAATTGCAATACTTACCCTTACTATATATTACATATATAAGTAAGTTAAATATTTTTTTTTTTATTTATAATTAAAACAGTCTGCCACACTGAAGAACTTAGGTACTATGGCTATAGTATAAATAAAAAATAAAATAAATAACGAAAGGATAAATAACATATCTTCTACTCGTATTTTATGAATCGATTAAATTCAATTTATCGGTATCCATTTTCTTTACAGTGAATTTATACTAGGAAAGTTATTTTTAATATTAAAGTTAGATAAGCCTCCGACTGAGGAGGGGGGAGGGACCACGGTCCACGACAAGCAACTTAAACTGTTTTTAATGTAATGGAAGCTTGATTCAAACTCTTAATGGAAAACCTATCGGACTCTTGCCATCCCCCTCCCTCGCCCAGAGCTGCACTTGACTGAACAAAGTGAAAAGTGGCCGGTATCGGAGCTCCACGTTTTTTTCTGTTTCATTTGTTGTTTGTTGTAACAACAAAGCTGGCGGAGTCTAATGTTTTTATATGGTCTGGGGAACAAATAATAGAGAAAGAATGCTTTTCCCGCTTAAGGGCCAGAGGTGGCTGCCAGAGCTTTTACATCCGCTTTCTTTTCCCTTAACATCAGGATTTTACTTCTATTTACCAATCAAATGGACTCTTTTTAAATCTATGCTTACACATCCGAAATATATCTTGAATATTGAAAAGATTTATATACATAATCTTCAAAAGAATATTATATTCGCAGCACATGTATCACTAAAATTATCTCGTGTTCTTATATAAATGTCATTTACAATATGGTTAAAGTTAAAAATTTTAACAAATTAAAACAATAATATAGGTAGTACATTCAACATTTTTATAAAATTATTTTATTTTGTTTTGCTGGTCTGAAATTTGCCAAGTTTTCTAGTTGGCAATATGCAAATTTGTAGACATTCCCTGGAAGGAGTTCAGTTTTTTTATTTATATATTAAATAACACTACATTCTACCACACTCAATGGAAATAAGTATTAATTCAGTAGGTATGCATTCATACAATACATACATACAAGACAAAATATATTAATAATTAATAAGAAATTTAAAAAAGAAAAATATCAAAAATAAAATAAAATGAATAAACAAATATTTGACATAATAATAATAAATAATAACAAAATGTAATTATAAATTTAAAATAATGTATGAACTTCATGAATAGAACGCTATATATAAATTGATAATGATTGCAAAATCAGTAGGTAATACAAATTAACTTAAAACTAAATAAAAAAAAAAAAAAGATAAAAAAATAAAATTCATCTAAAATTCACGAAGCTCAGTTAGGAAATCGATCGGCCACCGCCTTAAAACTCATGGATGTGAAGAAGATAGTAAGTGTTTAGGCTTAAATAATTAAAGAATTATTTTTTTAAATCAGTTCCTGGTGGGTTTTTGATTGCATTAGGTTGCACTAATCTACTATCTGATACATTTTGGATGTCCAAGTCCTTGTGTAGCGAGTCATTTATCACACAGAACGGTGGGTCTTCTACTTTCCTCAATACTTTTGATTGAAAACATCCAATCTAGATGATGTTAAGAGTATTTCGCAATGCCCCACAGATCTATTCTGAACGTCCATAGAAGTAAAAAACAACAAAATAAAATATTTATTTGTGGATCATTGATCTTTATCTGATGGAAGAATTGCTCTTAAATGAATTTATAGATTTGAAAAAAAAAAATTAGTTTATTAAGTATTTATTGGAGGAGGTATTTGATTATACTCATCACTCCATTCTCTTCCAGTTTAATTATTTAACATCTGTTGCAGTGATATAGAAATAATAATAATAGTAATAAAATAAATTTATTATTACCTAGGAAGAAACGTATAATAAATTTGTTACTTCAATTAACTCACCGTAATTGAATTGTAGTAATCCTCCTCAATTTCGTTTAGTACATATATATAAATTTAAATATTCTCTCAGTCCTTTTGTATTCCTTAAGGTAGTATCCTAGGTCCTATCCTCTATACAGTTTATACAGCTGACATCCCTACCTATCCCAACACTGTCATCACCACATATGCAGATGACACATTTATCCTATCAGTAAATAATGACCCATCAATTGTATCCCAAATGCTTCAATCACACATCATAAATCTTGAATATTGGTGTCAAAACTGGAGAATTAAAGTAAACTCTAATAAATCCCACCAGATTACCTTTATCCTTCGTCGCAAACCAATGACTTCCTGTCCTACAGTTTCCTTTAACAATACTCCACTTATCCTTTTTGAGCAAATCCGCTACCTAGGACTCCACCTGGACAAACGAATAACTTGGAATCCTCATACTAGACTGAAACGATAAGAAACCGCTCGACGTTACCGATTACTTCAGCACTTACTAGACAAACGCTCTAAACTTCCAATTAATTACAAAAGACTCCTATACATGACTATAATAAGGCTTATTTGGACTTACGGAGTTGAGCTATAGGTCTCCACTAAACCATCGAATTCCTCTCATGTCCTCTCCTGTCCAATCCAAAATCCTCCGCAAAATTCTCAATGCTTCCTACTTTGTTACAAATAAAATCATTCATAACGACCTTGATGTTTCAGATCTGGCCCAATCCAGATACCTATTCTTCCATAATAAACTTCAGATTCATCTCAACCCTCTCTTTTCTAACCTTGCTTCCTCTTCAATTCCTGATAATCCTCCGAGGCGTCTGAAAAGAAGATGGCCCCGTGATCTTCTAATTAAGACATATCATTAGAGCGCTACCATTGGGTAGTTACTGAGCAAGTGTTTTCATGTAATATTATCCATATGCTCAAATTTACAAAATGTGTTTATTTGTTACAGTTGTAAATATCATAAAGAAATAATAATAATAAAAAAAAGAAATATTCTCTAATAAAGATGTATTCCACAATGTTATACTTCAGAACAATAACGGGTACGGTCCAAATATGTATAACTCAATTCCCACTTTTTTTTTATTTTAATTTTTACGCTTGGCGCTATAGATCATTTCTTTGATTGCAGTATTCTTACAGGCATATATTGTTTGCGAGACCATAGATATCATGGAGGGGGTTACCGAACTTTACGCTGCTACGTACCATGGTATAGCGGCAGGTCGCCCAGACCAACTTGGGGTTCAGACCAACCTGGTGTGATACCGCTGCCTCGATCGGGTTCAAGGACAGTGACAAATCAGGCTAGATCCATGGGCTATGGCTGCTCAGTCAGCACACACATTGGAACCTATATTTCTTCCTCTGAAACATACCGTCCGTGGACCAAAAGTTTGAAGGCTATTGATATACTCCTTCATCTGATTGGTAGGAGTTGCCTCCATTGACATGATAATACTTACATACCCTGAGGAGTAGGGGATCGTTCGGGCCCATCGTTCTCCGCTGGACCGTCACCTGATTAGGATGGTCACCCATCCAAAAACTTACTTAGTCATTCCGGTCCCAAAACCCCACTTCTTATTGGTTTATTAATGAATAATAAAATCAAATAATGAATTTGTAGTGTAATGGATTTATTTTAATAAATAACGCTTTACTTTGTTTCCTCAGGTAAGGAGATCGTGGATATCGTTTTGGACAGGATCAGGAAACTGGCCGACCAATGTACAGGCCTCCAAGGATTCCTCGTTTTCCATTCCTTCGGTGGAGGTACTGGTTCTGGATTCACATCCCTTCTGATGGAACGTCTCTCCGTGGATTACGGAAAGAAGAGCAAGCTGGAATTCTCCATCTACCCTGCCCCTCAGGTTAGTATCTAATTAAGTTCAAATATCATTCATAGAAATAAGTTATTTTAAAAATAAATAGGATTTAAAAAAAACTGATGTTAAATAAAAATTCTGTACCAATTTTTATATAAAATCAAAGACCCTTAAGAGTAAACGTATAACAATTCAATACAGTAATTCTTCTGTAATATCTCATTTTATTCTCTAGCAATTAAAAGACCCTGTTGGCTCGAGTAATTTTTAATAGACGAATATATATGATCAATTACTTAGTGATTTAAATGATATAAAATTAAATTCTAGCTGCTAAACGTTCGGATGAGTTCATCTTATTAAGTACTACTACGAGTAGGTCATTCATAATTTTAAAAAAAATGTATAAGAAGTTCCGTGTTATTGTAAGGCATACAATTCTGTTATCGAATTTCCCCCTTATTTTACTCGTCAGTGTTTCTTTAAATGATTGGTTCAATGTAGTCTTTAATACTGAAAGAACATTCGACCATACCATATAGGACAGATCATTATTGTATACGTAGCCAATCGGCTTGCAGTGCTGCCTGTTTGATATATTTTTTAATATTTTGAAGTTCGTACGTTTTAGTTGATACAGCATCAATATAATAATTACAATATGAGGATCTAATAGCAATTTTTAAGAAAGGATATGTTGTCATTGAAATTAATATTCAACTATATCTATAACTATATGAAATAATTGTATATCGTTAAAAATAAATATTGAAAAATGATTCAGAATTTTTTTCTATGTTTTAGTTAAAATATGGCATTTTTCATACGTCGGAAACGTTTCATAGTTTTTTTAAATAAAGAAATAAGTTGTGAAAAAATTAAATCCATCAATACTTAATAATAATAATTTAAGCAAGGTTACGTATAATTACAGAAGATAAAACAGCTTATATAAACTGGCACAATTAGAATTGATTTTATTGCATTTCACATATTTTCTGGCCTTATGAATGGAGATGAAGGAATATTTTTGTCAATGAGGAATGCTGGTCTGAACATATACAAAATGAAAGGTTATTGAAAATTTCAATAACAATTCTCATGATCTATTTTGACATCCAGTTGTACATTTTGTATATAAGTGTTAAATGATTAAAGTACATAATAGATCTGTTTTTGAATATTATGAATTTTTAAAAACAATAATAATAATCAGAATTTTCAATTTGAACAAAAAATAACATATTATTAAGAGTTTTGAAAAAACATTTAGTTATTATGAATATATTCTATAGTAAAACCACAATAATTAATTTTTTTTTAAACCCGAATTATTTGTGTTCACAATAATACAATTTTCCTCATAAACTCAAAAATATTTTTTTATTTCAATTATAGGTGTCATTAAATCATATCATAGAAGTATAATAAAATAATGATATTTAAAAGAAAATTTAATAATTTTGGCTGCATTCCTTGTGATTGATAATATAAATACTAAACGTATCAGGAACTGCTATCAATTGAGATATACATTTATTAATGCAATTAATCATATATGGCTTAATACTTACAAATTCTTTCGCGAGAGTTCTGTTTATCGTCATCAATGCAATATATCAACATTGTTTCATAGCATTTTATTCCAGATTATAGTTAACATTGGAAAAAGTCTACCGGTCTTATATTAATTATTACTTTAATAACTTGAGATTTTCATTTTTTAATTATTACTCGGTTTATTAAAGTTGCTAAGTAAATTTTTTATAAAGCTGATCTATTGAAATTTTGTTAATCAAGACCTTATTTATGATATCGATGAAAAAAATAACAATCAGTAAATTCACTAAAATGTCACAAACCATTATGTATACGACATACAGTTGAAGCCAGCGTATAATTTTCTGATTTCACAAAGGGAAAACTCATCAAAATGTTTAGCGGGTTAAGGTTATGAAATGTCACTTAATGACGTTTTGTTTTTTTCTTACCCTCCAAAATGTTTATTGAAACAATTTACATATATAGTATACAATAATACAATATATACATGTAATAAATTCCTTCCACTGCCCGAGGGCATTTTAAGGAATGACGTTTATTTTATTTCAAAACGTCATATAAAAATGACGTTTTGAAATAAACTGACGATATATATCATAAGTACTAAAGTAAATAATACGAGAAAAGGCCAAGTTTTAACTGTAAATATGGAAAAGTTGTAAACTATAATCTGACAATGAAAGGATATATTTAGTTGAGAAAAACATCTTGAAGAAAGGAAATAAAGTTGAATAGAAGAAGTTGTAAATTAACTTTAAGGCAACTAGGACAAAGAGATCTCATGAGTACTTGAAGTCGCTTTATGTCGGCGATAACGATGCTCACGTTTATTATATCATTATCGTTGTTGACTACTTGTATCTACTTGGGAATAAAGTTGTCTATTGTCATATAAAGTCGATGCCACATCAAGTTAATGCTAATTATCATAATATTTAAATACATTCTTTTATAAGATGTTGTCATTAACAAAACGATAGAATGTTATTCTATTTAATAATAATGTTAGGAAATCCTTACTCTAAAGTTTAACCAAAATATTGAATAATATATTTTATAATGCAAATTATTGATAACAGGTACAGATTTAAAAAAAAAATGATTTTATGTTAAACTAGAGAAGTAATCCAAATTTTACAAATTACACATTTAATTCACTACTATTACTCTTTTAATTGTACTATTAGTTGCTCAAATTGTATTACTTTAATTTACATTTATTCTTTAGTTCAGATTGTATTATTTTTTTCTATATAAAATAAATGGAAAGATTTATTAAGAAGATACGATTTATTTATATAAATTTATATTGTTCATCGAGACTTATTACCAATTCATATTATCATAAAATTATAATTATTCTTATTGGCAATTCGTAACCATAAGAATGGAGAAACAATTCTAGAAATAAGGAGTGAGGTGTATTTGTTACGGTCCATCTCGCATTTTATTTGTAAAATCAAATATGACATAGTCACAAAATACTTTTTAATATAATAGAGATCTGAAAAGTAAAATAAAATTATTTTCAGATGATTCAAAAACAAAAGCATCATATAAAAATTTATTATTGAATTGTGAACGTCTTAACACACAATATATAAGTATATTTCTTTATATTAAAAATATATATATATATATATATATATATATATATATATATATATATATATATATATATATATACAGTATATACTTTAAGCCATGGATACCTCATATTTGAGACCAAAGGTCTAAAACAAAAATTCCTGTAAAATGTTTTATTTCTATATTTTTGAGAAACCTGAACAGAAATTTTCGAGAAAAAAAAATATTCCGTTTTTTAGCATTTGTATCGCAACAGCTATATCTTATTAGAGAATTTTACGATATTAAACGTCGAGTTTAATGAAACGGAGTGGAAAAAAAAACAAAAAAAAAAAAACAATGCCACTGATTTTTTTTTATTCAAACTGAGGCACTTCTGGGAAAAATATGATATGGCAAACCTCAAATTCGAGCTTAGCACCTTCAAAGTATACCAAATATATCTTTTCAAACATTTAGAATGTTAAATTGAATTTAACTCACTGACATATTTAAAAGTAAAATATACAAAAGAATCAATATACATCAATAATTTTAACCGTTGGATTGTAGAACTTGACGAATAAGAAAAAAAAAACAGTATAATATAATATAACATATTATATTCTATAGAAAGTTCCTCGAAACAAATAGGATGCATGAGTAAACTAAAGTATATTTTTATTTATGCTAAATTGCTAACTACACCATGTTAAAAGAATATTTTAAACTGTAGTAGTTTTGTTATTTGAAAAACATTACGGTATATCTAGATGCTTGTCATAGAAAAGACATCCATGTTCTAAATTTTATGTTTTTTAGTTGGCAATAATGTTTCTATTGAAAGGATAATAATACTCTCTGTCAAAATCAAGAGCATCAGTTATTATGTCTCTCTGTATAAATTCATAGCATATGCATATACAAAGTAAAATCTAATTTAATTTAAATTATTTACCAATAATAATACTAAAGTAAATATCTAAAATAACAATAAAATAATATGACAATAATAAGAAAATTATACTCAGATTCCAGCGCTTCCCTTCCAGCCGCGTTACTGTACTACTGTACAGCTGTAGGCTACAGCTGCCTATAGCGTCAGTGGAGACTGTAGAACTTTAGTAGAATCCAAAACATAAATAATAGTATAGTTTTAAGAAAATACCTTAGCAACCTTTCTGTATTTTACTTTACTTTTTGTAACATTTGTTTATTCTCAAAACAACATCATTTAATCCTCAATTACGCTCTTCAGGTTTCAACTGCCGTCGTGGAACCCTACAACTCCATCCTGACGACGCACACAACCCTGGAGCATTCCGACTGCGCCTTCATGGTCGACAACGAAGCTATCTACGACATCTGCAGAAGAAACCTGGACATCGAGAGACCCACCTACACCAATCTCAACAGGTTGATCGGTCAGATCGTATCCTCAATCACAGCATCGCTCAGATTTGACGGCGCCTTAAATGTGGATCTAACAGAGTTCCAGGTAGGATTTTTCAAAAATTATTTGTAACTAATGTAATAGGGTAGTATGGATCCTGGTATCAGGGGCGATGGAATTTGATGAGTGAGGTATCGGACGAAAGAGAATTTTATGAAGAATGCCATTTCCAAAATTTAAAACCATACTAAAACTGCAATAAAAGCCATTCAATAAATTGAGAGGTTACAAACATCAGACAGTTCCGAAAATCAACAAATTGTAAAGGAATCAATTATGATTTAAAGAAATTGACGCAGATATCAAGCCCTAATATAGTTCCAATGGAACTATAGTGTCCTATATTTTCACAGCCTTAAAATGAACCGTTTGCGAGATAAACCTAGATTCTAGCCGAACCATTTTAGGGGCTCTAATCGTCCTAGGTTAGGTTTGTTCGGCCTGTACAACCTCGTTATTTTGACAATTCGGGGGTGTAGGTCACGCCAAACGGCTCAATATTTTCGGAGGCCATCTTTTTTTCTCGGCTTTTTGTTCAAGTTATCTTACGATCAAAGAGGAAAGGAAAAGGTTACTTAAGAATTTGAAACTGACTCAATTCCGAGAATTTTCGTAAATATAATATTTGTAGGTTACGATGAGATGAAACTATTTATGAAGTCTCAGCCGGATGTTAATAATTTGATAAAAAGGGGCCTGTACCACGGACTATAGTATTAGATATTTAGGTTTTAAAATTTAATATATCGCTATTTATATCATTCTTCAACGAGCTTTGAATTCACATAGATAAAATTTTAATCTACTTAGTAACAGGAATCAACTACCTCTTAAGTTGTTTCAAGCGGCAGCAAAATTATAAAAATTGTTGGTTTTATATCACTAAGTGATTTTAGTTTTTGGACAATTGGACTTTCTGGTTTGAAATTTGCTTCAAATTGAAATTGCACAAAAAAAGAGTTCCCTTCAAATATGTATAACCACTCAAAACAATTCCTCCCACAAAAATTCAAATCCTCAAGGAAACACATTTCATATAAATTTTGATGGCAAAAAAAATGCCAACCCCCTTTTTGTTATATTGCATTATTATTGTTATTCTTCTAAATATTTTCAATTGATTGTCCCAGTTGCAGATTTCTAATTGTCGATTGGTAACTTATTAATAATGCTGTCATCAAGTTCAGAAGTAGTTACAATAACACTTGATTCAATTATATTTTATAATCTCGTTCAACGTCACGTCGTAACAAATAAAATACATTTCCTTCTTTAGATTTATAATTGAGCTGTGCATTGAAAATGTAATTAAAATATCGATATAGGAGGTACCATGTGTTTAAAACATGTTTAAAATATATCATAATTGCTTCTGACGACACAGTTAAACAGCGTCACTTTTGAATCGTGATTTATTCAGAAAGGGAGGTTATGTGTAATAAGTCCATGAAAAATTATAGAATATGTATCATGTGAAACCAGAACCCGATAGTGGAGATGACACTGATGTTGAGGTAGACGATCCTGTTGAAGTGGTCGATGTCGAAAAGTATTCAACGATAGAAAGTGGAGACGAAGAATCCTCCGAAGGAGTGGTAGACGAAGTAAGAGAAAATCGATACAGAACAAATATAAAAAGAAGACTAAGTGATTCCTCTGAAAAAGAGGAAGGGGAAATATCCTCTACATCTGACGAATCATTTAGTGCCGTACCACGTCGTAGAAAATGGTGTAAAAAGAAGAAGAAAAACTCGAGCAGTGAATACGAAACTTGTAAGAGTAGCAGTAGCTCCGAAGAGGAAAGATCTATCGATAGCATCTCCAATAAGACTTCATCCTCCGAGGCTAAGGTAAAACAAGAAATAGAAGACGGTGGGACCATTAGTGATGACGATGAGAAAGAAATAATATCCTTGGATGAGGAGTCAGATGAAGCTCCAGAGACTCTTCTTCTTGATTACCGAAGATCTGCAGACAACAAGCCTTTCAGATTGAGTGTCTGGTCAGTAGGGAATTTCAACAAGCATCTCAGTTCAAGAAGGAAGTCCAACCTAGTGGTTTTGAGACACACAAGCTAGCGAAGCCAGCGTTATAGCATTCCTACAACCTAAAACTCTAATTTGTCTATAGGTACTTAATATTCTGAGATGAACCGCTAATAAAATATTTGAATAATTATTTTGATTTTCGATAAATTCTATGAAAATATACAAACTTCACTTATATTGATTTGCAAAAATATCTTAGTGAACGAATTCCAGATTTTTGCAATAGTATCTTTTTGTGAGTATCTCCGTTTAGTAATGGTGTTTATCCAATCAATTTAAAAGCCTAATTGATTAATGTGTGATATGTAAACTTTACAAATATTTGCTACATTTCATTGAATTACAAAAATCTGAAAATCATTTCAAGATTTTGTATTGTATTGCTACCTGATAACTATAAAATCTGACACATAAAGAAGGTCATAGACGGATTAGTTATGAATAATACTTCAAGTGAGGAAAGGTTTTAAGGAACATTAATTCAATACCCTAATCAATGCATAACCTTCTTGGGGACACATGTTGTATTTAAATATAAGGTTTTATCTTATTTTTTCATAGGTGAGGTTTCATGGCGCAAAATCTGCTAAAGGCTTTAGGGAGCAATTTTTGACTGATTTTTGAATTTCGTGGTGAGGGAGATGGGGCACATTTCGACGTGGTTATGAACTTTCGGGATGAAAGGTTTAAAATCAGGGGACAAAGGAAAACATAGAACAGACCTCAGCAAGTATATATATATTTTTTGTTTTCTTGTTCTTCCCTGCCTTTTAGGCTGTTTCGGGGTTTTCCCGGACCTGAGGGTGAGGGCGGGGGATTAATGATAGATTCAAAAGAACGAATCCCTCCCGGTAAAAGGGCAACGCGAGGTGCTGTGAACACGCTTTAGCCTACACAGCCACACCGTCCCTGCAGCAAGTGTATCTTCATATGATCTACGATTTTTTAAATTATAATGTCTTTTAGATGAGGAGAGCAATAGAATATCTTGGAAAGGCCTCTCCATCTTGGTTTTTACCTGCATTAGGTATTTGCTTTAACAGTTACATAGTATGTATCAACTTATTAAGATACGAAGAAACTTTAGTTTTACGGTGGTGGAACATTGACTAATTATTAATGAACTATGTGATAACACGTTCATTAGAATCATCAATAAATTTTATTGAACCATTCATTAAAACAAAATTTTTAACTGTTTTAATCATATGTGAAGGTACCTACCTACCTGTAGTCGGAAATTAATGAAAAGCAAGTGCAGATCCGAATGGCTGGAAAAAAGTAAAAATATCCCAAATATAAAATCAATATTTGGAATCAGACATCGATTCTCGGAATTCTATTTCGAATTTCATAAAAAAAGCATTAACAAAATCAACGTAGAGCATAAAATACAACCATAAGAATGCGAAAACATTTAGCATTTCCATAGTAAACCAACTCCATCCCTTGTGCAAACTCATCCTTCCTTTTGCTAAGTAATCAAAGCCTGGAGAGGACCAGAAGCTGGTGGTTGAAACCTCTTCACTTATTAATATGCAGCTAAAACTTCTAGAAGAGCTTATAGATAGGAGTTTACAAGGACAGCTGTTAGGGGAATAGGCTACAGATAAAATATGTACCCCAGTATTAATACATAGTGGCGTCATCTTCACAGCGTCATACTCCCTTTGTTTTACAGATAAAGTGCTTCAATTTTTCTAGGGAAAACCAGACTAAAAATTAGACTAAAGATTTACAAAAAAAAAAAAAAAATCTGAGGTAACTTAAAAAACACACGATAGAAGTGAAAACATCAACAAGGAGATATTAATAATATGAAATATAAATTATAAATATTAGTTCATTATAAAGAGGATGAAATGCTGAACATTTCTCTCGTTTACAGTAGGCAGGACTGGTGTTTAGTTTCTGAGATATTTTAATCCCCATCTTCCAGAAAGCTCATTACCATTTGGTTTTCGACACTATCTTCCTTTTTTTTTTTAAAGTAAGGAATAAATTATTAAACCTTTATTTATAAAATATTAAACGAGGATAATGTCGAAGTATGGTCCCTACGAAATCTAAATGAGGTAGAAAATAATTTTCATTTTAAACCTATCTAGCCCGTATTGTTTGAATTAAAAAAAAAAAAGAAAAAATAATGAATTCATAAAGAAGTACTATACAATGGTGGTGGATGCTGTATTTAAATTTGGAAGACCGTGTTTCTTATTTATTTATTTTTTTAAAATAAAACTAGATTGAGCCGTCAGATTTCCGATGTGTTAGCGCTGGAGTAAACTAATTTTATTGTTTTTGCTTGTGGACTAAAATATTTCAAAAACTTAAAATCTTAACATATGCAGTTAGCGAGGAAAAGGTTCATCATTTCATCCTCTTTTGTAATGAGATATTATTCAAAATTGAATCCTAACCCGACGGCGTATAAGAGAGGCGCAAGGGGGAACTAAATAGTGTCCAAAACCATATAACCAGTTTATTAATGGTGTGGATTAAAATATCTTAGAAAATAAACATCGGACCTGCTTAATGTAAGCGAGTTGATGTTTTTAGGACTATTGTGTGTTCTAAAGCACACAGCTTAGTTTTTTTTTTTTTTACTTTTATTGATAATTACTGAGGAAGAAATATATAGAAAAAAAAATATAAAGTAACGTTTATGCAACACTTAAAGGACAGTTAAAAACAACTATCTAGGGGAACAATAATCATTTTAGGGTTGTTTTTTTTTACTCTCACTTACAATTAATAGTTGAAATACCTGTGTTATAATTCAAAAATAATAAATATTATGATTGCTTTTTGAGTTCAGATTACTCACAGAAACAAATATAGAACAATGAAATAGAGGAAAGAAATGGTCCGGGGTAGCGGTCATAAATAGGCTAAATAGAAGAAAACTATTTTATTAAAGGCTAACGTTTCGGCCCTACTTTGCAGGTCTTCTTCAGGGCTAAACGGACAAGATACAAACAAAATAGAACATAGTGG